TCTGTGCTGCTAGGTGTTACTTTATTGATTAGCCCAGGGGGGTTGTAGGCAAGGCTCATGTCCAAACCAGGTATTGTTCAGCTGTTCATGTTCTTGATCCATTGCTTCTTTTATTTTATTTTTATTTTTCACATTTCGGAACCACTCATCCCCCTCAGAGAGGGACTCTTGTTGGATGTCCGCCATTGTTACTGCGCTGGTGATTGATTTGTGTTCTGGGAGATTGCTGTGCTCTGCTCTCAGTTCCTGCAGCCACTTTACACTGGTGTTACCTATCTTCTCTTTCTCCAAGATGTTCTTCCAGTTCTGTTGATTTTCTGCTGTTGGTGGTTCTGCTGCTTCTTTGTTATTGAACTGCAGTTAGTTCACCTTGGATGATTCTTTGGAGAACTGGCCATTTATCTTCTTAGCCTCTGCTTTTACTAGCATACCTCCTTAATCTGGTAGCCAGTGCCGTAAGCTTTGCTTCAGCATTCTCTAAGGCGGTGATGGTGAACCCTCGCGTGCCAAAAGCGGGAGAAGCGCAGGGGGGTCATGCACGGGCATGCCACACCCATAATGCTATGTGCACGACCCAGTGCGCATGCGCACAGGACCAACACTCCCCCCATTTTTGGTGTGCTTTTTTTGTCCTCCCCAGGCTCCAGAGGCTTTATAGGGAAGACAAAAACAGCCCCGCCCCGGAGACCCTCTGAAGGCTTCAGGAGCTTCCCTGAAGCCTCTGGAGGGTGAAAAACCGCCCCTATGGGCAAACCGGAAGTTCGGAAATGGACTTCCGGTTTGCTCGTAGGGCTGGTTTTAGCCCTCCGGAGCATTCAGGGGCCTTCCGGAGAGCTAAAACTGGTCCTATGAGTAACCCAGAAGTGACTTCTGGTTTGCTCGTAGGGTTTCAAGGAAGCCTCCAGAGGGTGAAAAATGGCCTCAAAAGAAGGCCGAAGTTAGCTGGCCAGCACGCCTCGCGTGCCCTGACAAATGGCTCTGCGTGCCACCTGTGGCACATGTGCCATAGGTTCGCCATCACAGCTCTAAGGCATCAGATAGTCAGGCCCTTGTGTTTTTTCAGTAATCAAGTCTTATCCTTAATCTCTATAACTTTCTGTTGTTCTATCAACTGACTAATCTCCCTCTGAAATTTTGAGATCCCTCAAAATTTCTAACCTCATTTTCAGGGGGGGGGGCTTTTAAATGTATTATGCATCCAATCATCTCCAGGATTACAGCAGCTGTAGCGTATCACTGGGTTAAATTGTGATGGCAATAAGGATTGGCACAAGGGCTCGGACATCTCATGTACTATCTAAGGGCACTTCTCCACTGAGTCTTGGTAGCTGGTCTTGAGAGTTGACTGCAGCTAATTTATCCATGTTCTTATATTCCATATTGGCGCTTGTGCTCCGTAATGGAGGGGGTGGAAATGTTCCAGCTTCAGTTGTTGGTTGCACATGCAGTCGTTTTTCCAACTCTTCTTGAACCAGGAATGTAATACATAGTTGATCTACCTCAAGTTGTGAGAACAGCTTCATTGTTGAAGCAGTGGGTGTTTCTCAGAGAGGTGTATGTGACAGGCTCCTGTCGGAAAGCTGCCATTCCGAAGGGGAGGCAGGAAGCTTCTTGGGGCCGATTGCTTTGAATGCTTTCACTTTTGCTGTAACTGCATGGGAATTAGGGAGGGGGACTGGGCCATCAGGATGGACTTCCTCCCAGCTGGTTCCAGCCTGTTATCCAAGGCCTCAGCGTCCCAAGGATGACCTGTTATCACCATCCCACCCCCGAGTTCTCATAACACCTTTACAGACTTACCGTTTTCAGTTTTAAGTTATCTGCTGCAGATTCATTGAAGGATATTCCTTTCAGAAAGTGGGCCCCTATCTGGATGGGAATTGTCGGCAGCTCACACTGAATAGGCTGAGAGGGAGTCTGTCTCCGTCCCGTCTGCTGAGCTTCAGCTTCACTGCAGCAGCCCTGAGGACGCAAAAGACCAAAGCAAAACATAGCCACTCAATTGCTACCCAGCAGGTTTGCCCCTCTTGACTAGATCCAGAGAAAGAGGCTCTTACCTGCAAGCTTTCTTCAATTGCCTTTGGATTCAAGTGGAAACCGGCCTTCATTGCATATTCACAGTGACCCAAACTTTCCAAAGCAATCTTATATGCCTGATATATGTTAAAAAAAGCACCACATAGAGAGATGAATATCAGAACAAACTGTCCATAAAACCCCACAAAGGAAAATCACCCCACTATTCAACCACTCCTCAACATGGACCTGTGGCTGTGCCCAGTCTAGACAGTAAAGAAAACAACCCCACCAGGGAAACTGACCTGCAAAGCACTGTCTGTTTTCAAGTTCAATTCTTTTAGCTGGTGCTCTGGAATGGCCACATTCTGAGAGCAGAAGAGTTGCTGGACCTCGATTCCAGCCAAACCGCCATCACGTCCTCCCTCTTTCTCTCGAAGCCGTGAAGTGGCCTTTAAATAGATGGCAGGAAAGGTGAAGAAGGTGACAAAGTGACAGAAGTTATTTTGAATGGTGTTAAGTTAAATTTCATCATTTGCATTTCATGCTGGGACATTATCCAAAGTTTAGGAAAGAGACTCTGCAGCGTTTTTTTCAAACACAGCTCTGATCAAAGATCACCTCATTGTGATAGGCACAGAGGCTAACTATACACATGTAACTCATTTGTATCATTTCTAAAACATTTTAGAAATAAAAATAGTACAAATTTTGAAAGAAGAAAGGAAATGAAAGTAATAAGTGAAAAAGCAAGGAAAGAAAAGAAAAAAGGCATTTCTAATCACTAATGAATGTTAGTTATTGTCGTTTCTCTAAATAAATAAGTCAATTTTGCCATCTCTAATAATTCTCTTATCTTCGCCAGCTATTTCTTTAAAACTTTCCAAACCCAGCCTGGCTTTAGCCCTGTGTAGCAAATGGCCCCAGTAGAAGCTGGGGCCTCAAAGGAGGCAGATAAGCAACCAAAGCAGATAGCCTAGGGAGTGAGGCGCTTCTGCCTTGGCCAGTGGCAAAAGGTTGGGGTGGAACTGGGAGAGCCACCAGCAGCTGAAGGTAAGGGGGCTTTGCCTGGAGGGGGATGAGACACCCCAACTTAAAGAGTTCATTCAGGGAGGAAACGTCTCAGGTCAAACCTCTAGTCCAGGGCTGTCAAACTCACATCATCATAGCGTCATCATGTGACGTATTGGACTTCCCCTTCACTAAACCGTGCATGGGTGTGGCCAGCGCATGACACATCTGGCCCGTGAGCAGGGAGTTTGACAGCCCTGCTCTAATCTATATCTGTTTCCCAAAGGAAGGCAGATAGTCTGACAAGATTCTTGAAATATAGATGATCAACAATAAAATATTGTCGGGCTCATCCACAAATGCCCACAAAAATGAAGGAGCTCTGGTGGTGTGGTGATTAAAGTGCAGCGTTGAAGGCAAGTTCTGCCTGCAGCCTGGAATTCGATCCTAATGGGGCTCAGACTTCCATCCTTCCGAGGTCCATAAAATGAGGATCCAGATTGTTAGGGGCAATATGCAAATAATGCTTCTACAGTGGTAAGCTTCCCAGAGGGCTGCAAAGCGCTACAGTGTGGTATATAAGCCTAAACGCTATTGCGATTGTTATTAATACAGCATTCTAAGGTTCTGCCCCTGGTGCAAAATTAGAAGTCTTAATTATCCTTCTCATCAGCTATTTTATCCACTTAGTTGATAAAGCAGAATTACTTTTATCAATTGAGTGGATAAAGAAACTAAAAGTAGCCCCTTTTAAGTTTGATTGGCTGGGTCAAATTTTCTGTCACCCACTAAACTCTTTAACCTAATGAAACATGTCTTCTGAATGTGACCATTGGAAAACTCCCTACAGATGGAAAACTAGCTACCATAAAGGAAGCCAAGATCAATCCATTTTCCATATATCCTGATTAAAGATGGAGGCCTGAATGTAGAACTCCTGACATCTCCACACAGCGGCCCAGTCCTACCTCTGTTGCTCCCTTCCATGACCGCACTGCTTCATCCAGTTCGGTTGGGGGGTTTGTGCTGGATGTCTCACTCAAGCTAGAATTTTTTCTCTCCTGGGCTGCAGCCTCAATGAAGCATGACTGAGCCACTGGTTGGACTTTCTGCAAAGCCTGGGATAGAAACTGAAAATGAACCTGCATCACGGTCAAAAAGCAGCGTCCAAGTACCTGTTAAAAATAAAAATGAAAAAATAGACCATCATTAGGTTCAGGAACAGGAGGGGGTGGGTTGTACTCAAACTAGATATTTACATGCAAAATATTTCATTATCTCGTCCTTGATTTCCCCCCACACACCCTGGCATTTCCCAGTGGCCTTTTACCCAAATATGAACCAGCCCAAGCACATTCAGCTTTTCATTGGCAGCCCATTTCCATGCAATTGTTCACAAAATCACCCAAAATCAAGCTCCACTTGAGAGAAAGAACGTTGGTCCTTAGGTGTCTTTTCTGTAGAGGTGAGGGAGGGGTTACTCGTGGGTATAGTCACAGCCTGATTGGTCCATAGACTGAGGGAATTTTCTTAAATATTCCACCATTCCTTACTGGCTCCCAGTTTCCTTGAGGTTGAAGGATGACACCTTTGAAGTCCGTGGCTCGCTAGGGTCCTTCCGACCGGCTGCCGGTGTCGAAAAGCCTCTGGTCGCTTTAAAGTCATGGCACGCCTTTTCCTCAGCCAAGTCGTGCCTGGATTGCAGCCCTCTGTGTGCTCTTTTACGGCTGTTTTGTGGAGCCCGACACACTCGTCAGCCCGGGAATCAGTCAGGGCTCCTCGCTCCACGAGGCAGGAGGGAATTGCCCAACTGGCTCTCCTACCTTGCGCGAGACAGAAACAACTGTCCCTAGGGGCAGCATCGCAGTTAATTTGGAATTTTGAACATTTTAGAATAATCAATTAGTCAAATTAATATCCAATTAATTTTTTATGAATTTTAAATATTTCCTACCTAGAAGCCAAAGCAGTGCTTGGACCAAAAGACTGAGGAAACTGGGAGCCAATAGGGAATGGTGGGATATTGAAGAAAATTCCCTCAGTCTACGGACCCATCAAGCTGTGACTATACCCACGAGTAACCCCTCCCTCGACTCTACAGGAAAAATGTTATTTCACTATCCTATGTATATTTTTGAAATTAATACAGCATTCCTCCTCTATACTGAAAGACCATGGTTCACAGTATTAAAACTTCACACTGCAACTGCAAAGCATATACAGGTAGTCCTTGACATACAACAATTCATTTAGTGACCATTCAAACCAAAAAAGGCTCTGAAAAAAGTGGCTCAAAGTTACAAAGTCTCTCCCCCCCCCCTCCCCATAATCTGAATCAGTCTCTAATCAAGTGACACACAATGTCTTGAAAGACGGAAAGGCACAAACTTGTCAGATACACACGAGGCTAAATTAGCAGGAGTCAAGAGAGCAGGAATAGATGGCCATAAATGGCCAAGAGACAAGATCATCTGAAAAACTCCCTCCTGGGTTTCCTCACAGG